CCACAAGAAGAAGATAGCCAGCAGAACTTTCCCATTTCTTCAGTTGTTGGTCGTCCTAATTTTAATTTCTTTGATCTCATTTTCTTATGCGTATTCACTATATTTTATACACTATACTCTAATTGTAAGTCCTTACAATAACTTCTTCGGTACTCCTTCCCAATTTTTGTGACTCTCTTTTGGGTTAGTATTATTTTGTCGTTCTCGTTTCTTAACTTCGCCAATTGTTGGTTTACAAGTCCGTGGCATATTATTCGGATGATCTGGAAAATTCTTACATCTCCATTGTTGTTATGTTCTTCCACTTCTTCGATTCTTCTTGAATAAACTTTCTTATCTTGTCTTGGTCAGGGCTGGAATCCCCGTAGAGTATCGACTTCGTCCGGTCATTTGATTCTTTGCACGAAAAAATTAATGTTGAAAAGAAAGAAATATAAGACTCCGTCTGTACTCATATTATATTCATTCATTATTAATGATTATTATTCATTATTATATTGTCTTACATCACAGTACTACTGCGTATGTCAACCCCACCCAACACAGGTATGATTGCAAAGGGTGAGTGTGCTATTACTGAAGGTTTCAGATGGCCTCCTGACAATACGGCAATGTTTCAAAATAACTGTCTTTTGCATAATTAATACATTCCTGGTATCCAAGTGAAATCACTCCAGTGCCCGAAGTCGTCATTTTCGGGATCACTCCGTAGCTGATATTATTATAGGCACACGTCGTCACTACTGAAGTTCCACTGAGTGCCGACTTCAGTAGGCGAGATTGGTATACTTCTTGGACTTCTCTGATATTTTCCCGATATGTTGTGGGTATTGTATGATTATTATTATTATTATATTATTATTATTATTATTATTATTATTATATTATTATTTATTATTATTATTATATTATTATTATTATTATTATACTTATTATTATTATTATATTATTATTATATTATATATATTAATTATCATTATATTATTATCATTATTATTAAATTATCATTATTATTATTATCATTATTATTATTATTAATTATCATTATATTATTATTATTAATCATTATTATTAATTATTATTATCATTATTATTATTATTATTAATCAGTATTAATATTATCATTATTTATATTATTATCATTATTTATATTATTAATTTAACAAAATTGCTTAATCGTACTATATAATCCATTCGAATCTTCACTTTGAATGTCGTGTTTCCTAAAGATTTTGAGAAAACTTATTTATATTTCACGGAAGAAAACTCTCTCGAAGGTCTGACAGGTCTGTCATTGTGAAAACTATTGAAGCAGCGTTGTTTGCTCCAAATGCATCAGGCC